ACAATAATAAGAGTCAAATCCTAAAGAGTCTAAATTTTACTCTTTCTATTCTTTTTTCTAGGTCATACTTAGTTTTTAATTTTTAATTATTTTCAATTTTTAAAGTTTAATATATTATTTAATTATAAAATTATCGAGTGGGTGAAATATTTTAATTGTATATATTAGTTGTGTTAAATAAATATAAATAATATAAGTTTTTGTTATAAATTTCGATCTAAGACAATATATATATATATATATATATATATATAAAAAGTTATTATTTAAATCAACAATTCTTCACAACACTTGTTGCACTAAGGCATTCAGAGTTTACAGCTTTAACATTCACTTTGAATGCGTTATTCCTTCCCTGTTCTAATTTCATAATCAGCTTCTGATCACAGCCATACAACTTTAAAATATTATCCTTCATGATAACTGAAAATCCTTTCTCAATTAATTACCTACACTCATCTGATTGCTTTTCATACCAGAAACATACCACACATTCTGAATAAATGTTGTTTTACCATTATTTAGAACTACTCTGACATTTTCCATACCTTTAACGTTTAGGTATTTATCATCAGCACATCTGATTTTTGTCCTCTTTCTATAGTCAAAATCAACAAGCAATTTCTTATTTCCAGTAAGATGATTTGAGCAGCCAGTATCAATATACCACCAGTCTACCATATACGCATCATCAAAATCAGAAGCCATCAAAAACACAAATTCACCATCAAAATCTCTTCGGGCTATGTTTGCTTTTTCTGACTTCTTTTCCTTGTTTGACTAACAATCAGCAACGAAGTGGCCAAACTTATTAAAACAGTAGCATTGAACCCTCCTTTTGTCATACTTCTCCTTCCCATTCTGAGCACTCTTCTGCCTTTCTGAAGTTGAGGTTTCTAACTTCTGAACACCATCAGATCTCTTCTTGTCTTATGACCACAACTGCTTATGATATTTCTTACCAGAAGCTGCTTTTAGAGTCTACTGTTTTACGTCTCTTTCACAGTTTCTCTTAGTCAGATGCAACTCTTATAGGGATGGAAATGAGCCGAGTCGAGTCGAACTCACCTCAGCTTGGCTCGACTCGTTAAGAATTGGTTCAACTCAAATCTCGATTCGAGTTCGACACGAACTTTTTTTTAAGCTCAAACTCGACTCGTTATAAGTTCACAAACAGTTTGGTTCAACTTGTTAGGTTCATCTCATTAGGTTCCACTCACATGGTTCACGGACTTAAAAGCTTTTTTTTAAATCTATTTTTTTTAGTATATTTGACATTTTAAATTAATATTTTTTTAAAAATAAAATATTAAAATAAAATAAAAGTTATCATATTGAAATTTAACTTTATCTCCAAAATCTACTAACTCAAAACCTACACAAATTTCAAGAGATATATTTGAGAGTCTAATTCAAAAACTACTAAATTGAAGATTAAATTTGTCTAAGATTTAGAGTAAATATTTAAACCTAATCTTAAAGACATTATAATTCTTCTCATATGTAATCGAGTTGACTCATGAACCTAACGAATCGAACTATGTATAGTTCAAGTTCAACTCATTTAGTTAACGAACTTACTTTTTCGCTCATATTCAATTCATTTGGTTCATGAACCTAGTTCAACGATTTAATTGTCGAACCGAATTCCAAACTAATTTTGAGTTGACTCGGTTCATTTCCAGCCCTAAACTCTTGTGTCTTTAAACTACTTTGCAACTTTTCAATTCTCACGGTGCTAAGATCCTTAGAATGTTTAATTGCTACTTAATCAAACTGAGGAGTAATAGATCTAAGTACCTTCTCAATGATATTTTCTTCACTGAGAGTTTCTTCACATGGCTTCATCTCACTTGTGATCAGAATTACTCTAGAGATGTAGTCAGGTACATTCTCATTATTCTTCATGTTGAGATTCTCATAATGCTTACGTAGAGACTGAAACTTCACCTTCTTCACTAATGCATCACCGTCGTAGCACCGTGCCAGTGTGCCCCACACAACCTTCGCCGTCGTCGAATCGGAGAATTTCTCAAACATGTTTGCATATGCACACTGATGGATGTAAAACAACACCTTTTGAGCTTTCTTCCTCGTTTCTCTTTGCACGTTTCTCTGTGCTTCCGTCGCATTTTTCGCAACCAGAGCATAACCGTCGTTGACGAGATTAAGAACATCTTGAGCGCCAAACAACACATGCATCTAAATCATCCACTGATTCCAGTTCTTGCCATCAAACACCGGAAGCTTATTACTCAGATTACTGTTTCCTTTCATCTTTAACCTTGTGCAATTCACTTAAATCTCATCAAAACACTAGTGTTTCTCAATCCCGCAGAATCAAGAAATATGATTATGTTACGATTCCAATAAAAAAAATTCAACACGAATTCAAGAAACGAAATCAATCACACAACACCTCACTGTTCACTCGTGTTCCCCTGTGGACCTGAACCGGAGCTCTAGATACCAATTATTGGTGCAGAAGATTAAAAAGATGAACAATGAAAGAAGACAGAGAAGAAAGAAAATAACAAACTTCCACTACTCTTACAAAACGACTACGGTGAACGATTACAGTTCATTGCTTAATGACTAAACATACTACTTACTTGTATACACAAACAATAATGTCACATAAACAAAATGTTAACCTACACTAACTACGATAAACTTAACAAAACTAATATTAATACTATTGGATATAAATTACTTCTAACAATAATTAATAAAAAAACGATATTCTTTAAGTTATATACTATTCTTTTCATACAAATAATTAATTTTATTCTTAACTTGCCTAAAATATCTAAAATAACTAATTATAATTATAATTATAATTAAAATGCTAAATTATATTTTTAATTTCCTATTTTATTCGATTAATGAAATCAATCCCAATTTTAAAATCAAACAATTCTAGTCTCTCTTTCAAATTTTTTTTCCACTACTAAGTTAATTTATGACATCTAATTTCAACAACGTTAAAATTTAAGTTAGTCTATCATATAGAGTTTTTATCGTTCCTTTCACTATTATTATTATATCTATCCCTTAAAATAAATTTTGGCAGTTATTATTATTTTAAGTGAAGAGCAATAAAAGCAGTATGCTTGATCTTTCAATAGTTACTTTGTTATTTTATCAATTTTAATTATAAATTGTTAATCCAATATACTAGTAGTACATTTTAGTACCAAAATAACTTTTATTAAATGCATAAAAATATATTGTTAAAATAATTTAGCAAAATAAAAAAAAATGGTAAAAGCATATTGTTAAATGCATAAATAAAAAAGAGAATAATATTTTTAATAAATTAAATTTATTTAATACTATTATATTTATCATATCATGTAAAATGAAAAATATTAATTTGAAAATGATAATCCAGGTAACTAAAGTAGTACAATTTAAAAAAAATTATATTGCAATAAAAATGGAAAAGTATGATATTTTAAATTAAATTTATTTCATCAATGTAGAATATGAGCAAAGATTTTCCATATTGTGAATCAATCATATTCATTGAATTGCAAAAATATTTAATTTTAATTGTAATATCTTAAAAATCATATACACAATAATTTATAATTATTTGACTCGGCCAAAAACTCAAATAATTGAAATTTACTTCAACTCAAATTCATTCTAATTGATGGAAGATTCAAAAGTCATTTTACATAAAACAAGATTTTTTTTTATTTTCACGTTTTATTATATTTATATAAAATCATGAACTATATTAAAAATTAACATCATCCTATCCGTTCAAGATTCGTTATCATCAATTTCAACTATTTTTGTTCTAGTACATAGAAGATAAAAGTTTAAAATTGAATTGAATTTATTTATACTATAAATGTAAAAGTTATTTCTTATCTTGTCAAACAATAATAAAAGTCCAATCCTAAAGAGTCTAAATTTGACTCTTTTTCTATTCTTTCTTTAAGGTCATATTTATAAAAGTTTTTAACTTTTAATTATTTTCAATTTTTAAAATTTAATATATTATTAATTACGAAATAATCGAGTGGGTGAAATATTTTATTTGTGTGTTTTATTTTAGTTAAATAAATTTAAATAATATAAGTTTTTGTTATAAGATTCGTCGAAAACAATATTTATTTATATATTTATGTTTATGTTTAAATTTAAAATATTATTATTATTTATAATCATTCAGTTAAATCTAATTTAAAAAGTATAATTATAAAATAAATTATAAAAATTTACTCTTCGAGATAATGAATCCTCACTCATTTATTTATATATATATATATATATATATATATATATATATATATATATATATATATATATATATATATATATATATATATATATATATATATATATATATATATATATATATATATATATATATATATATATATATATATATATATATATATATATATATATATATATAATTTAGACTACTTAAAGATTAATCTCTACAACTTACGTAAAAGATCTTCGATTTCTTAAAAAAAATCATACATACAGTTAATCCTAATTAACATAAAGAAAAATTAAAAATTTATTAAAAATATTATTTTTTATTTAAAAAAAGCATATTGAAATTAAACTTATAAAAAAAAAATTAAAAGTGTATTAAATTAGGGATCCAAAAAGTCCAATTTAACATAAATGAATGCAAAATTCTCAAATATTTATAAGAAGATGAGATGATAGCAAAACAATGAAGCAGTGATGCTTCTTCCTCTGCTCATCTTCTCTCTCTAACCCTAAACCCACTTCCATTTCTCTCTCAATTTCAATCCCAAATTCAATTCCCTCACTCTCTCAATCCCAATTTCAATTTCAATCCATCACACAAAAAATCCCCAATTCAATTTGGATCCATTGATTAACAACGATTCTTCAATTCAATCTAATTGATCACTTCAAATTTCCAATCTTTTGAATTTTAATCGAACTGGGTCGATCCAATTCGATTGTTTTGATCCTATCAATTTTAGGATTTCCTGATTGAAATGGTCTATTTCGATAGCTCAATCTCTCCCGTTGACCAATCATCATCCATGGCGAATTCCCTCGATTTCCCCAAATCGAGGAACCGTAAGACACTCAATTCTCTTCAGATTCCGCCTTGCGAACGATCTCGATCTCGATCGGCGGTCGTTGATGTTGTTATATTCATAGCTGTTATAACCGCTTTAGGGTTCTTGGTTTTTCCTTATATTCAATTTGTGATGAGTGAAAGTTTCAAAATTTGTTGCTTGATTATTGATTTGGTGAGAGAAGAGGTCTCTGTTGCTCCTGTGATCTATGTTTCTATAGGTGTTAGTGCATCATGTGCTGTTTGTGCCACATGGTTTTTCGTGTCGTATATATCAAGGAAATGTGGGAACCCTAATTGCAAGGGGTTGAAGAATGCTGCTGAATTTGATATTCAGTTGGAAACTGAAGATTGTGTGAAGAATTCGTCTTCGTTGGGGAAAGATGGTGGCGGAGTTAAGAAGGGTCTTTTTAAGATTCCTTGTGATCATCATCGCGAACTTGAAGTCGAGCTTAAGAAGATGGCGCCGATTAATGGAAGGGCTGTTCTTGTTCTTAGAGGAAAGTGTGGTTGTTCTGTTGGTAGGTTAGAAGTTCCGGGTCCGAAGAAGAATAGAAAGATCAAGAAATAGGATACAGTAAATAAAAGGGACTCTTAACTCATAGGAAGGAGAGAATTTGAATGCTGAATTTGATCCTAATTGAGAAGAGGAGTTGGTTATAGTTATATGGTCATGGTCTTCCATGTAGCATAGACACAACGCCGATACGGGGACCCATGTGGTTGTGTTTGATGTTCGTGTCTGGGCTTCCTAGATGGCCATTTTATTAGGGATTTAGATTGTCTTTAAATAAGCCTATCAGGCAATAAGTTGTAAGAAACTTTGGATCATACACAGTTTGATTATTTATACCTTGGAATATCATAATACTTTGATCTGATTTACTTTAATAATTTGCAGTTTTGTTTTTGTTCTTTCAATTTGATGTTTGTGGTTTTCTATTATTTCTGGTTACCGGCTATATAGATTATGTAGCACTGACACTTTAGATTGATGGCGTGTTAGGTGTTTGGCAAGTGTCACATTCCAACATTCCAACATCACCGACACTTTATATTGATGGCGTGTTCGGTGTCCGGCAAGTGTCACATTCCAACATCACCGACACTTTAGATTGATGGCATGTTCGGTGTCCGGCAAGTGTCACATTCCAACATCACCGACATTTTAGATTGATGGCGTGTGCGGTGTCTGGCAAGTGTCACATTCCAACATCACCGACACTTTAGATTGATGGTGTGTTCGGTGTTTGACAAGTGTGTCACATTTTAACATCACCGACACTTTAGATTGATGGCGTGTTTGATGTTTGGCAAGTGTCACATTCCAACATCTACATATACAATACCAATACCTATGTTTACATTCAATTACTTATATTTTCTAAAATTATTGCCTGTGTCTATGTTTCTGTTTTTATGTTAGTACACCATATGTTTTAATGTTCATTCTAATTATGTGATAAGTTTCGAGGATTGAAGTTGCCATTGTTTTTTTTTTAGAATGCAGGGTTACAGAATTTGCTGCTGTTCTGGTTTTGATCTTAGAAATGTTGTTCTGGATTTTCATGTTTTCTTCACATACTTGATTGTACAAAATCTGTTAGACTTACTCTTCTAAGATATGCATTTTCTCCATTGACTATGTGAATTGTTTCATCATATTGATTGCCATTGTAGGCTTACTCTTCTAAGATGTGAACCATGGACTGGGCTACTCATCTCTGAGACATTTTATACAGGTATTAATCATAAATTCTGTTTTTTTTTTTTAATTTTTATTATTTGAATGAATGATGCAGAAAATTTAGTTTAGACTATTACATTTGGGTTCTTTTTTATAGTTTGTTCTATGAAGTACGTACACAGACACAACATTGACACGGTCACGTCGACATCAATAATAATATGAAAAAAATAGATGAATTGAACCTAATCACAAGTATCAGTGTGTCGTGTTGCTGCTATAGAGAATTTGTTGTATGAATAGTTTTTACCTTCTTCCCCCTCTTTCCTGTGATATATGTTTATATATGATCCCGGGCTTAACTGATCGAGCTCAAATGGTTAATGAATTGCCAGTCGAATTGTTTGGGAAAATTTGGGTTAAGTGATCGAGCTCAAATGGTTAGTGAATTTTAATGACGGTCGAATTGTTTGGGAAAATCTGAGTTTGAATTCTGGCTAAAACAACAATCAGATTTTAGCCACATGCTTTCTGAAATGTTATTTTTAAATTGGAAAAAAAAAGTAGACCAGACTTTAGCCACATGTTCTTTGAAATGTTATTCTTAAATTGGAAAAGTAAAAGTGTTAAAATATTAAGAGTTTCAATTACACGACTCAATAAATCTTGTAAAGTATCATACTTTCCAAATATGGATCTTTAGTATGGAAGAGATGTGAGAGGAGCTACAACTTAAAAAATAAAAAGGAAATGTTATTTCCGCGATTGGTGGGGTCTTTCACACATTTGAAAAATTATTTTATGATGAATTTAGAGATACATGTTTGGACGCATTCAAAAATTACACTAAAATGCATCTTTTTGAGATTTATTTTATTTTGTAAAAAATATAGTTTAGAGATGTATCTCCATATCATATTTTGGTGTATTCAAAGATGCATCTCCATATCATATTTTGATGTATCCGAAGATGCATCTCCGAAGTATTCATGTATGGAGTTTTGTTATTCTTGCAACTGATTTAAATAACAAGTCAATAATATTTTCGGAGATGTATCATTAAAAATGTTCAGTTTGAAATTTGATAAAACACCACTTTGTATGATCTTATTCTTCATGCTAAAAATATACTTCATTGTAAAACCTTTAAAAAAAATGCTCTCATTCTCAATAAATTTTTCAACACCAAAACATCATTCTTGTATTTCATCACTTGAAAGGGAGGAAAACAAATTAGAATTGCAAGTAAAGATCATTCATTTCACCCCTCATTCCTTGCATTAATCTTGTTTATGAGCTGAAAAATGGACATTGAATTTTGATATGCATATCCAGACGAAGTTAGATGTGGTCAGTAACACCCTAAACCCGACACCCTTGTTTGAAAAATTAGAACTGCAAGTAAAGATCATTCATTTCACCCCTCATTCCTTGCATTAATCTTGTTTATGAGCTGAAAAATGAACATTGAATTTTGATATGCATCTCCAGACGAAGTTAGATGTGGTCGGTAACACCCTAAACCCGACACCCTTGTTTGATTATAATAAAACATATAATTTCACACAACTTTGGTGTTACACATTCACAACAATCATCTCTCTCAATTTATAACATATATTAAATAACAGTAGAACATCAAAAACTCTGAATCAAACATTTATTTTGTTTTGACATAGGTATTAAATAAAAGAATTCAAACATCTCAAGAAACACATCATGTAACAAAACAATTCCTCTCAGTGTTACAGATCAGAGCTCAACGAAAATTAAATAACTAAAAAAAAGTAAATAAATGAAAAGGCCTCAACGCCATCCTCCAACTCAAAAGAAGCTACTTTTTTACTTGATTATCTGTACTCCAAGAGAGTACAAAATACCACAAAGCAAAGATGGTGAGAATTCGCTCAAAATATGTTAACGGTGCAACAAATAGCAAGGTTAGTAACGTACATAACAATCATCAATATATGAATTAATCACAACAACAATTTACTCATATCTCACTCACACAAAATCACATAATCACCAATTCATGAATTTCATTCTTACAACGATAATAATAACACAATCGCAAAGCAAATATATATGCAATGCATCAGCTCTTCAACTCTTTATATATGTGGTACTAATTTGGAAATCAAAGATATATTACTCATTTTGTCCTATCATTAAATGGCATTCCCTTATAAACAATACATCATTGATCCCCCCTTTTTGAATCAGACCTTGTCACTGATTCCCCCCATTTTGAATGAGGACTCGTTATTGATCCCCCTTTAGAATCAGTACTTGTCACTAGTTCTCCCTTCTAAACTAGCGACACAACACTGAACCTTAACGCCATCCTCTAGCTCAAAAGCAGCTACTCATTTGTCTAATCATCTGTACTCTAAGAGAGTACAGAACACCACAACAAAGCAAACAAGGGTGATAATACGTTCGAAATATGTTAACGGTGCAACAGATAGCTAGGGTAGCATCGTACATAACAATCATCAATGTATGAATTAATCACAACAACAGTTTACTCATATCTCACTTAAACAGAATCATGCAATCACCAATTCACGAATATCATTCTCACAACAATAATAACACAATAGCAAAGTAGGTATGTATGCAATGTATCAACTACTTAACTTTTAATGTATGTGGTACTAATTTGGATATCAGAGGTATGTTATTGATTTTGTTCCATCATCGAATTGTTCCCCTTCTGATGCGTGAATATCACTATTCCCCCTTTTAAATTAGGACTCGTCACTGATCCTCCCTTTTGAACCAATACTCATCACTAGTCCCTCCTTCTGAACTAGCGATAAACACTAGACAAAAGTCCGTACACTATGTTGCATGAGAATGCAGCAACACACGGATGTAATGAACATTCACTAGTTTCCCTTCAAACCATATACTTGCCACTAAGGCCACCATCTAAATATAACTAATCATGCTATATATTTACGACTCACCAGTGCATAATCATACAAGCATCCAACATACATCCACAAGTATTTACATAACACATACACTACTACAAAAAGTTCTTTTGACATTGGACGTGAAATGCATTTTACTTCGGCTGCAGTAGCGAGGTAACGAAGGGCGTCATGAAAAGTAACGACTTATCACCTCAGTTTTTTAAACGAGGGGTATATTAATTTTCAAATGACTTCGAAACCTAGCATCACCATTTTTATTGTTTACAAAACTAATGTCTCACATCTCGGTTATAATAAAGCTGAGAGGTAAGATATAATATTTTTTTAATTGAAATCCGTTACATTGTTTATACAGAAAATAAATAAAAATAATTTGTTTATAAACTACAATATTTACCAAAAATATTACATTGTTTACATCTAATATTAAAATAAAAATTAATTTATCCCTGAAGATCATATGTTGGATCTTCGACTCCTTGATATTTGGGAAGGATCAAATGCTTCACCTTACAAGTATTTGTTTGTGATATAAAATGAAAAAGGGTTAGAATAATAAATGATTTGTTGCTCAAATGAATATTTAAAAACACAAACTTTAAACCCAAATAATTTTCTGCACTTGCAAACTTTAAAAATCGAGACGAACATGATTTTTTTATATTTTAAAATTATATTGCTTACACAGAATATTAAAACAATAATACATCAAAAGAATAATTTTGGTGTAAGAAGTTATCTGATCCAAATATTGTACGCATCTAATTTCTAGGAGTTATCTGGTCTAACCATTGAATGCATCCAACTTCTAAAGAAATTATATGTTTCAACTATTGAAAAAATATTTTTCTGGACTTGCAATTCATCATATAAAACTTTTACAAGCTTCTAAATACAACAACAACATCAACACCATTTTGTGAGATGGATCCCAAAAAA